CTGGCCTCGGGCAATGTCGGCAGGGCCTTTGAGATTATCACCACCAATGACTCCATTGGCGAAGTGTTTGTGGCCAGGCCCTTGGACAGAGAAGAATTGGACCACTACATCCTCAAGGTGGGGACAGACCCTGGACTGCTTATTGCTGACTGCCCATCAGCCTGTTGCCACCACTGACCTGGGACAAGCTGTACCCTTCAGGGCCTAGGGCACACACAGGGCACACTGGAAGGTGACCAGACAGAGGCCACTGGACCCTGGGAGGAAGTGGCCAGGCACCTGCTCCTGCTGATGGGAGAGAAGCCTGGCAGATCCCCATGCTGCCCCTGAATCCTATGTGATGTTGGGCCACTGACTGACCCTGCCTGGGCCTCAGTTTCCTTACCTGTTCCATGGGCCCAAAGTTCCAACCTGGCCTGCATATGCTGCTGGTCACAGTGGCCAGTGTTTGCTGAGGTGTCTCTGGGTATGTGGGCTTCAATGTAACTGCTGGTGCCCCTAAGCCAGACCTCCTAGGAATAGCCTCAGCCTCTAACGAGGGTCTCTGCGCTCATTACTGAAAAACTGATTAGAGCTCCATCCTCCCTTGCCAAGGACCAAATAGAGCTTAGTATAGGCAGGAACCTTAGGCCAGGTTCAGGCCCAAAGTCATGGTCAGGAACAGTCAGAAGACAAAGACTCAGGCATACCATGAGGATGGGGCCAGGATGATATACAGCATGGGCAGGAGGGGAGAGTTTCAGGAGGATTACACACACACACACACACACACACACACACCCCTCCGAGGGCAGGGAGGGAATCCTGTGAGCTACACAGACCCAGTCCTGTCCCCAGCCTGCAACTGACTCAGTCCTTCCCATCCCCTTCCTCCTCCTCGCAGGTTGTAGCTTCTGACCGGGGCACTCCTCCACAGAAGAAGGACCACATCCTGCAGGTGACCATCTTGGATGTGAACGACAACCCACCAGTGATCGAGAGCCCTTCCGGCTATAATGTCAGCGTGAATGAGGTGAGGGCTCCCACATCTGCACACTAGAGCTCTGAGCCGTTCCTGAGCACCTGCTGACACCTGTGTCTTGCCCACTGACCCCTCAGAACCAGAAGTGGGGGAATGACTCCCTCCTAATCATAGCCCAAAGCTCCCTACCCCCTGTATCCTGGAATTCCAGGGTAGATATTCAGAGGAGGGGGTAAGGAAGGTCTCCTGCCAGGCTGTGGACCAAACCTTGCCTCCAGAGACTGGTATATGAAGAAATCTATTTATTTCTCAGTCCTGAGCTTGAGGCATCCTGGGAGATGCTGGGAAGGCATCCACCCCAGCTTCACTGGGGCCACACATCAGGGTGAAAGCTAACGAGGGCAGTGTAGCTTGGGGCAGAATCCATTGGGCCATGTAGACTTGCAGGCCTTCCTTTCCTGTGCCTCAGTTTTCACATCTGCCGGTGGGATTGATGCCAGGTCAGTGAGGGGCTGATGAGCCAATACAGGCTCCAGTCCACATGGTAGATGCCTACAGAACCCACCACATCCATGCTTGGTGTCCTCACTGTTGCTCTGGAACAAGGCTGTCAGGGAGTACAAATGCAGTCTTTGGGCTGTCAGGGACTGAAGCTAACCTGGGCCCCAAAGGTTCTGAATCCCAGCTGACCTCTTTTCGTACTATCCTCACAGAACGTGGGCGGGGGTACCGCCGTGGTCCAGGTGAGAGCCACTGACCGTGACATCGGTATCAACAGCGTCCTGTCTTACTACATCACTGAGGGCAACGAGGACATGACCTTCCGCATAGACCGCATCAGCGGTGAAATTGCCACCCGGCCTGCCCCTCCAGACCGTGAACGCCAAAGCTTCTACCACCTGGTGATCACTGTGGAGGATGAGGGCACCCCCACCCTGTCGGTGAGTGTGGGGGCAGTCACTGAGGGGCCAGGATGGGCCGAGGCAGCTCCGACTTCCGTGCGGACAGGGAGGGAATTGCATGTAGCAGCGATTCCTGAGCTGTGCCACGAGTCTGCCACCCTGTTGTGCGTGCATCAGGGTCTTCAACCATTCTGAATCTCTGTACAGTCCCATTGACTGTTGCAGCACAGCCGTATGAGGTGGTATGTCTGGGTGTGGCCCAAGGAGCAGACAGAAGTTGAATTCAGCCAAGGTTGGTGCTGGGCAGTGCTGCTCCCTATGCTGATGCTCTCGCCCCCTTCCCCTACACTGTGGCATGTCAGTACAGCACATTAGGGCTGGGAGGAACTGATGCCTATGGTGGAGTTTGATGTTCGAATGAATGGGGCCACTGTTCCCAGCAAGGTTTGAGTTTTGGATAAGGTGTGGGTATAAGGGCTTGGATGGTGACAGTGCAGGGCATGCCAGGCTACAGTGGGAGTCATTGATAAACTGAGAGTGAGGAAGTGGTGCTGAGAGCCCTGTGGGCTGGGTGCATGGCTAGTGAGCCAACTGGCTCAATTTTAAGCCAATCTCACAATACCAGTTTTGTCATCTGCAAGAGGGAAAGAGTATTTACTGCTCAGGTATCAGCTGGGGGAACCTTTGGTAAACCAGAGGAAGGGGGCTATGTCTGTTCTTTATCACCACCATTGCACTGCATCACTAAACCAAATGCTGCAGAGGGTCTGGCCCGGTGGGCTGGTGACTGACTGGACTTAGCTGGGTGTTCTTGTAGTCCCCCCAGGGTGCTTTCCTGCACCTGTGGGTAACTGTGTGTTGACTGAGGGCTGTGCCTCTGGGAGTTGCTGGGTCATCAGCTAGTATGCCAGGGTAGTTCCATGCCTGTTCCCATGGCACTGGAGAGGGTACAGTGGGAGACAGAAGAAGCAGGCAAGGCATGACTTCCATAGCATTCTCTTGATCAAAGCAAACATTAAGGCTACCCCAGGTTCAAGATACAGGAACATAAATACCACTGTTTAAAAGAAAAAAGGGGCAGAATATTGGAAAGAGTGTGGCTCCACAGAGGGGGAGAGGAGCAACGACACCCTCGCAGTCTCTCCCCTGCCAGGGCTCTCATGGCAAAGAAGGCCTCAGCCCTGCCCTCCCCCTCAGCAGGGGCACTGTGGGAGATGCAGGCAGGGCATCCCTGGGGAATGTGGTGGAATCTGGGCCAGTACTCCCAGGAACTTAGGAAATGGCCATTCATACCAGTGGAGCTAGCCAAATGAGCATTTACAGGTGATATGGAACAAGCTGGGAGTGGGGCGGGGAAGTAGAGGTGACATGTACAGTGGTACCACAGTGGAACTCAGCCTGAACATCACCCTTCCTCCGCCGTTCCTAACCTCAGATGATTCATCTTCCTGGTCATCCCTCTGAGAGCATTTAAAAATGTGTTTGGTTACAAGTAAACTTAACTGTGGAGTCATATATAAATCAGAGTGAACTTTTTTGCATAACAAATTCTGGAGGGAATTACAAATGTTAGTGTCATGCTCAGTGATGTCAGAATTTGAGTGTCTCGGCCTTCCCTTCATGGCTACAAGAGAGCTGCTATGGCTACGGCCGTCAAGTCAGCCTTGGATCCTTTGCCAGAACTTCTGCGTCCTGAGCAGGAAGGTGAAAGCTTTTCCAGAAAGCTTTTCCCCCTCCAGCACTTTACTGTGTCTCATTGGTCAGAAGTGAATCATGTGGGCACCCCTAGCTACAGGGAGGTGAGAGAAAAATGAGGTGCAGGTTTGTCACCTTTGGCTTATTCCTCAATGGGTGGAGGGTGCTCTGTCACTGCCCACAGGCAGAATCAGTACTCTGTAGGTAAAGGAAGAGGTAGGGAATAGGTTTTGAGGGACCATCTGCCAGCATTTGGCACCTGCCCTTCTGCATCCCAACCTGGGCCAGTCAGCACATCTTTCCTTCCCCTCCACACGTTCTCACGTTCCCTCATTTTGCAGGGAGGCAGCCAAGGGGACAGTGGGCTCTGTGACCTTCCAACATGCTGAGGTGTAGAAGCAAAACTGGGCCTCCTTTTGGGTCCCTGGGAGAAACAGGAAGTCACTGTGGCCACAAGAACCACCAGGAATAGGGGCCACCATTCAGGGGACTCCTGCAAATCATGGGATGGGTGTGCAAAAGGAGAAGACACTGCCAGCCCTGTAGGAGCGAGTAGAGTCCCAAGCAGCACACGGCCATCCCTCCTGAGGAGCCGGGATGGTTAGCAGGAGCCAGGGCAGGCCCCCTGGCTGTCCTCTGCATCCCAGCTGCTCTCATACCCATGCCTAACCTGGCTGGAGGACAGGGGTGTGTCTAAGAGGGGTTCATCCACTCAATACCACCTCTGTAGCAGGTGTGCTAGGGTGGGAGAGCAGGCAGGGACCTGAGAGTTCTAACTGCCATGCCACAGATGCTGGGTACCAGGACTTGGGGTGGCTCTTCAAAGAAAGAATCCTGTATGTCCCTGTCTTAAAGGATGCAGCTTTCTAAAAGCAGTGCCTAGCACTCTGCTGCCAACAGCTTCCTCAAAGCCTAGGAAACCCCCACATCTGAGCCACCCTCCCTCCTCCCCGCCCCCGCCACAGCTCCACTTTCCTCCAAGTCCCCTCCAGCAGCTTCCTGAGCTCTACCGGACATTCCAGCAAACAGCCTGGGCCACCTCTGCCCAGCCCTTGTTCCACAGGCTCAGAGTAAGCTGAGCATGCCAAAGCCATGGGAGCCAGTCCCAGGCCTTCCCCACACGTGTGCCAACTGGCCAGGGAAGCCTCTGCCCTCCATCCAGGTCCAGGCTGTGGTCAAGAAGGCCAGGCTTGGTGGAGGGATCGGAATCAGGAAGGCCACCCCCACTCCCTGCTGGAGGAAGGGCCAGGCCCAGGGTGAAAGGCAACTAGGAGGTCAAGAGATAAGCCCCCACAGGGAGATGCTCAGCTGCAACTGGTGGGGAATAGGCAGGAGAGCACCTAAAGTCTCCCAGCTCCCAACTCATGCACTCCCCACTCAGGCAAATGTGCCCAGCAGGGCCTGGCTGGTGGCCTGGGAGTGGGGATGCTGAACCTGGCTGCTTGCCTTCTGGCTGTAGGGCAAAGGTCTCTTTGGGTGTGCGTTTTAGCACAGCCTGCTTCCCCTGGCGAGGCTCGAGAAGCCCCAGCCTGGCTCGCTCCTTGAGCTATCCACTCGAGGCCCGCCCTCTTTGGCCCAACATGAGTTCATCTGGACCCTTCTCTGGGCCCTGCTTCTGGAGGGATGTTTTGCAGCTTCTGAGATATCACACAGGCCACCAGCTTGGCTCCTCTAAGAGCCCCTTGGGCTCAGCATTGGCTGAGTGTGTCTGCCTTCCCTGTCCTAACATAGGCCAAGGGTGGAACACACAGACCAGTCACTGTGTCCACCACAGGTTCTGGGGCCCCCATATCAGCAGCAGCAGCAGGGACTCTGGACCCAAAAGAAGGTCTGGGCAGGATCCAGGTGGAGCTATGGGCATGTAGGCACAGGTTTATTTCCCAGGCCTTCCCCGTCATGTGTGCTCTGACAGGTATTTGTGGTCAAGTCCAATGTGAAGGCCAACCCTGGCTGATGCCATCATTCAGTTCTGTGACAAGCAGCAGTGCAGACTTGGTGAAGCAGGAGACCCAGGCATTGGATTCTGTTTTTGCCAAATGGTTGTTTTGCTAAAGAACAAACCTTTCAGAAACTCAGTTTTCTGAATGCAGGACAACAAAGTCTTCCATGACTTGATGACTCAAAACAAAGGGCAGCACACATGAAAATGTTTCAACAGCAAAGGCCATTTTAACAGTAAAGATAAAGATACAACACACATACACGCACACGCACACCACTTCCCTTCCCCCTCCCAAGGCAGACATTGCTAGCTGATCTTGGCGTGCCTCAGTAAGTTTTTATCGACAGTTTGGAGTATCCTCTCAACTTCTCTTCCAAAAGGTGATACCAACCAATTAGAATGTCAAAGCCAAAAGAACCTGTGCTCTGGCCTGTATAAGCTTGGCCCAGGGTTGCAACTGGGGACAAGAGGGGGCCCTGCCCGGCTCACGTGGTCCAGGGGACCAGCACATCTCCCAGGAGCCCTGATGCAGCCAGGTCCAAGGACTCTGCCCACCAAAAACAGTCAGGGAGACAGCATGTCCACAAGGGAGAGGAACGAACTATGCTAACCAAGGAGTAGGCCTGGTGGGCAGTGCCCTCTGTACCCAGCACAGCTGCTCAATCGGGCTGTGTCAGTTTTTCAGGAGACCTCTGCACCTACACCTTAGCGGCTCTTCCTCTTTTGCCTTTGGTTGTTTCCTGCACAGCTGGGAAACCCTTTGGTGCTCTTCCAGGGACCCCCTGGACAGCCTAGGGGCAGGGAATGGGGAAAGGCCCCTTCCCTGAAAGGTCAGGCTTTAGTGCCCATGCCCAGGTGGTGGGGAACGCTGGCTTGGCAGGTACAAGGGCAGGCCCTGAGTTTCTCGCAAACCCTGTCTGAAGTAGGGCCAGCCTGACCAAGAGGTGCAAGCCCATCCTCTCAGTACCTCTAAGTGCCTCAGGGGTGGCCACCCTGCCTCTCACTGGACGGCTTTCCTAAGCTGGAGGAGGCAGAGAGCACAGGGGTTGGGGAAGAACACTCCTTCCTGGCAAGTGTCTGATAGTGAATATGTTCTCTGAGGCTCAGCTTCTGTCCCTGGACTTCAACCAGTGCCAGGCATGCAGTCCTGCAGGTGCCTCCCACCCCGGCTCTCTCTCAGGCACCCAGCCCTCAGTGCCCTGCCTCCTGCCCCTGTGCAGGGGGCAGCAGGAGGAGGAGGAATAGCAGTGGGGCCCAGAGCCACTGCAGTCAGTGTCTATGGCCAGGGACGGAACAGAGCCTGGAGCTCAGAGTAAAGTCGTAAAAACAGGAAACCACGAAGCTGAGGTACATTCACTTGGGAGGGTCCGGAGGACAGGAGAGTGTGGGGAGGAAGTAGGGTGGCTGTGCCCCAGGGGGCCTCCTCCCTGTCTCCCCGGCCTGGATTCTAGCAGGTGATGTTCTTAGAAGTCATCTCAGCCTCGAGACCTGAGGCCGGAAGCTGAGGCCACCACAGCAATGGGCAGTGGTGGGGAGGGTGTGTCTTGGCTAAGCCAGAGGGAAGGCAGTCAGATCTGTGACCAGCAACCCAGAGCAGGTGTCACACCCCTGTACACACACTCCTGTGCTGGGGGCTCTGTGAGCTGTGAGGATGAAACCCTGTTTCTAGGGCAGCTGGTGTGGTGTAGGGAGGGAACACAGCAGGGGCCAGGCCCTACGCTCCAACAAGCCCAGCAGGAAGCCCACAGGGACAGAGTCGTTGAACCTGGCATGGGAGCTTGGGTGCAGGGCCAGATGTGGTCCAGATGGCTCCCGCTGTGGTTTATATATACTCACTGCTGCCAGGCAGCCCAGAGCTGTTCTCCAGGGGATGGAGTGGATCTTGCCCTGCCTGCTGGGTTCCTTGTCTCACCCCATGTCCTGGTTTCCTGGTCCCCCAGGCTCAGCTCAGCACTGTGGGCTGCTAGAAGGTGAATACCCAAGTCAGAGCTATGGTCTTGTCCCCTGTGAACAGCTCTGTGCAGCACAGCCATACCCCTGCTCACTCTCAGGCACGATACACCCCTTCCTGTCTCTGTGCTCTAGGTACAGGATGCCCTGGGACACACTCATCACAACAAATGCAGGTCAGCCTGGAAGCAGGAACAGAAGCAAATTCTTCTACAAGAGGTGGGGCGGAGGTCCCCCTCAGCCTCAGGTGCTTCAGAAGCAGGAACCTTATATTGGACACAATACATCCACAGCATCTGCCTTCCATGTGGTTTTAATGGTACCCCCTTCCCCTTTCACTCTTGGGAGCATCCAGACATCGTGTGGTGGGCCTGGCCACTGTCATGATGAGCAGCAGGCAGCCCGAATGGCGAGAGCAAGAGAGAGGGGCCCCTAACGCACACCTTCCCAGCTGACTGCCCAGCTACAGGTGCTGGCTGGTTTGATCTCTGGCCTGGTCTTTTTTTTTTTTTTTTAAAAAAAAAAGATTTATTTATTTATTGGAAAGGCAGATTTACAGAGAGAAGGAGAGACAGAAGATCTTCCATCCGATGATTCACTCCCCAAGTGAGCACAATGGCCGATGCTATGCCGATCTGAAGCTGGGTACCAGGAACTTCTTCCGGGTATCCCACACGGGTGCAGAGTCCCAAGGCTCTGGGCTGTCCTCAACTGCTTTCCCAGGCCACAAGCAGGGAGCTGGATAGGAGGTGGAGCTGCCGGGATTAGAACCAGTGCCCATATGGGATCCCGGTGCATTCAAGGCGAGGACTTTAGCTGCTAGGCCACACGGCCGGGCCCTGACCTGGTCTTGCATGACTCAGGATTCCAGTTTGCCCCAAGTATGTACTTGCTGTTTGGGAGCCTCTGGGGGACAGAATGCAAGCAGCAGAGCCCCAGGCTTACCAACTTACAGACCCTCAGAGAGATGGCTGCTCAGAAGCACAGAGCAAGCTCCAATCGCCCAAGCCCAGGCTTACCCAGGCTCTGAGACCCACTAGCATACATGGAGGGAATGCAACAGCCTTAGGTGAAGTGGAGCAGGGTTGTATCTGGCACAGGTGGCAGGAGTCCCTCCATGTGTTTTCTGTGTGTGCTGCCAGGCCCTTTGGCTCATGTCCCAGAGACCAGCTGCTGCACAGCTGGATGTTCCAGGACTTGTTAGGATGTAGGCCATTTGGCATCTGTAGCTGCTAAATTTTAAGTCTCTTAGGGGGACCCCAGCACCCCAACATCTTCTGAAGGAGACTGAGGAATCCAGCTTCTCCTTTCTTGCCCTGCAGCATCCAGAGGGAGCAAAGGTCTGGGCTCAGAGCCACAGGAAGCAAACGGATGTCACAGCAGGGGTAGTCTGGCTCCCAGTGTACCTGCTCCAGATGTGCCCACAGCTGCCCACTGTCCCCCCCAGGTGCTTTAGATGACCTCAGCGTTTGGGGAATCAGGAACAGGATCTGCCAAACAAAAGAAATGTAGTAAATGGGCAGGGCCTGGGCTCTCTCCCCCCAACCCCTGGCATTACCCTACCCCCACAGGCTGGGGTGCCCCCTCTGGACAAGATTTGAGGCTGAGATGCTGGGGGATTCAGGAGGCACTCACCCAGGGATGGGAAGAAGACATCCCCAGGACCTGGAGGGGACAGAGGTGTGCTGGGCTCTGAGAGCAGGTGCCTGCCGGACTCAGAAGGTTGTCGCTGGGCTACATAATACAGTGGGGATCTGGTCTTGCCTTCAGGCATCCCCTGGGAGGGTGGAGAGACCTCAAAGCCTGGGTTTTCGATTCCTTGAACTTGGCTGCTGCTGAAACAGATGGGAAGATCATCAGTGTCTCCGACCTCCCCACCAGCCCCCTCTCCCTCCCCTCAAAACCTCTCCCAGCAGGAAGGGAGCAGCCTAGCCATAGTGTACCCACTGCCATTGGGGTGTCAGAGTGGCTGTGAGAACTGGCTCCAGTACCTGCTCTTGTCTGACCTTCAGCCCCAACCATGAAGCCTAGGGTCAATGGCACTTCTAGGATACCAGTCATAAAACTTTGGGGCCAGGTTTCTCTTTAATCATTAGAGTTTATGGCGTTAGGACTGGATCCCTTCCACATACGTACATACTGGAAACTGTCTTGAGCTGAGGGGAATGGGGAAACAAGACTTCCTGGGACCTGTCTGCAAAATCATCCCTTCCAGACCCTTCAAGAAGTACTGGACTTGGTTGTGCAGAACCTAAGTATGGCTCACACCCTGAGTGCCCCAGTGGGCCAGGATGCCAGCCAGTTTCCCACCTGAAACAAACCAGCCCATATACCTATTCACTCCATCTGGCCTGCTGCAGCCTGCTCTGGGGCCCAGTCTAGCTGTTTTTTCCTGGCCTGCCCTACCTGGAGGAACCACATTTCCAAGGTATAGCCAGGGCTGATCCCCAGCTCCTTGGCATGTTTCAGTGTCTGCTCCAGGTCAGAAGCTCTCTCCCCTCCTAGCGACTCAGGCTGACCACAGAGACCCCAGAGTGGGCACATGGCACATCCCTGCAGAATCAGGGCTCAGCCTGCTGGGTGAAGGGCCATGGGTGTGATGGCGTCAGATGCACAGGGCAGATGCTCTTGGGATCAGCTATACCAAGAAGCTACCCAGGGGCACTCTGACACAGCAGTGGGGAAGCTTGTTCTTGATGGGACCCATGGGTCTTACCTGTCCATCCGCACCAACTCCTGGGCACCTGCAGACAAAGGAGCATGTAACAGAAGGGAGCACTTCCACAGGCAGCATCTTGCAGGTGCCCTGCAGGGAGACCTGTCTGCCACTGCTCCTCAGGCCAGTCCAGCGTGTCTAGCAAGGAGGGGCTGGTTGTGACTGCTCATAAATGGAACTCAGCCTGCCAAGTTTAGGTGTGTAGAATATTGGCCATCAGGAAGCCAGGATAGCCAGCACCTTCTCTATTGCCTGACCGACACGGTACCTGCCAAAATCCCAGTGGTTCTCCGTGCCTGCACACCCCACTCATCACCAACCAGATGCAGGTCTCCAAGTTCCCCTTTTCTTGAAGCTCCCAAGGTCCTCCTGCAGTGCTTTCCCATCTGACTGTGGCAGGGGAAGGGGCAGGTGCAACACCAACACAGATGCAGGTGGGTGACCCAAAAGTTCCTGAAACCTCTTAGAATTGTGACAGCTGCTGATGGGGTGACTCCCCCATGAGGCAGACACCAGGTGGGGCACACAGCACATATTCACCATCTCGCCTGTCACTCATCTGCTGGGGGCAGGCTTGGTTCCTGTTTCAGAGTGGGGAAGCTGAGCCACTGTCAAATGCTGCATGGGTGTCTACAGCCACTGGCCTGCAGGCCAGAGCTCCTGGCTGGCACTCCTGCTCCTTGTTCTGTCTGCTTTCCTTAGTGGTGACGCCTACTTCTATCCCTGTGCCAGACACCAGGACTCCCCACATGCCCTCTCTCCCCTGCCTCCCAGCAGTTGCTTCTCCAGCAGCTCCATCAAGGGACACAAACTCAATCTCCCCACACTCTCCAGCTTGCACCTGGTTTCTCTGCAGTTTGGCCCTGCTGGCGTTTCTCATGTCTACCCCTAAGATGTTAAGCAGGCAACTGATTTGTCTTGGAGACAAGGGGTGTGGGGCGTGAATTAGCCTTGAACCTAGTCCTGTTGAAAGAGACTTCCCTCAAGCACATAGTGAGTCTGCGGCTGGGGTTCCAGGCAGGGGCCACTCACCACTGCAGATTGGGGTTGGTTGAGACTTACCAGCTTGTCCTCAGCATCAGTCTACCAGCCCCTCTACCCACACGTCCACTCTTTCAGGTTGGTTCAGTTACCCCTTTCTCTGAGAAACCCCATGGAGCTGGCTCCAGGGTCCCCAACATTCTATCCTGGGACTGTTTCCATTCTCACTGTCCTCTAGCTGTCGCCCTACATGTTCACCAGGCCTGAAACACATGGGGAGGCTCTGTTCCCAACCTTTTGACCCAACCTCAGAACATTCCTGGGGCTGGGCTGTGGTGGATTGGTGCAAGGCAGCCACTGGCCCACTGGCCGCTCTGGAGATAGGGAGGCAGGACGTCAGGTTGGTGTGAGGCCTGGGGGTGAACAGCAGTCATCCGGTAGCAGCAGACCTCCCTTACTTACCTGCTGTAGCCAAGCAAGGGACACGCAACCAAGGAGGCCACACATGCCTGGAGGATCACCCCATCCTGTTCTCAAAGGACTCGGACTAAGCAAGGCTCAAGGGCAAGGTCACCAGAGTATGTGTGTGTGGCAATGCCCTGAAGCCCTGTCCCACCTCTGATTCATTGTGTGGCTTCACCTCTCTTTGTCTTAGTATGTGTGTCTGTGACATAGGGATGGATTGTAGGACAGGTACCAAGGCACTGGGCGTGGAGTGGCTGGCTCCCACGCCCTGTAGTGATGTCCATTTTAGGGGGAGAGAGAGTGGGATGCAGTCCCTGCCACTTAATTCCCTAACATTTGGTGACATCTGAGTCCTGCTGGTTTTTAGTTTCTTGTCAGCTAGAGGAAAGAGTCAATAGCTAAGTTATCTCTAAGATATTTTCCATTGCAAGGTCATTTTTATCCCAATGATCGCTCACAGCAGGTCCCCAAAGGATCGCCCAGCAGCAGTGTTTTCATAAACCACTGAGGGCCCAGCAGGTACTGCCAGGAAGCCAGAGGGACATTGCCTACCAGGCACAGGTGATCACAGGTGCTGGGCTGGGGGCGGGAGCAGCTCCCTCACACCCCTACCCACCCACGGGCAGGGCTACTCACGGTGGTTGGAGGCTGCCTGCCTTTGCTTGTAGACCAGGAGCAGGATGAGCGGGAGACAGAGAATCCCCACGATGCAAGCGCCTGTGGCCAGGGCCGCAGCCGTGATGTCTGTGAGAGCAGAAGGGCAGCGAGTGAAGGCTCATGCCCACTGCCCCGCTTTCTGGGAAACAGGGGCTCCAGGAGGGTAAGCCTGGGCAGGGCCTCACACTGGACCCTCAGTGACCTCCACAGGCAAAGAGGTCTGGTTCCTTTTAAAGAGAGCTCTAAGCTCTCACCCATTTTTGCCTCAAACGCACACACGTAGGTCCAGAGCTGGGGTCCCTGGCAGCAGCAGAAGCAGCATCTTCAGACAAGGGAATAAACAGGGTGAACATGCTCTTCATCCCAGCTGGAAGACCTGGGCTACAGACTGCCCCCTACAATGGGAGCATAGGCCCTTGGCAAACCCCAAGCCACAGAATTTAAGGTCCAAAGCAGTCCAAGAGCTAGAAGGGTGTTAGAAACAGACTATGGTGATGATGGCACTGCCCAGAGATTTGTAATCAACGCCACTGACCTGCACACTTGCTATGAGCTGAAAAGGCAAGTCCCATGTTGCACATGTGTGTTTTATACCAGCAAGAAACAGCTCACCCCAGCCCCTACCCCTGCAAGCCCCTACTCTTGGCCTCAGACACTTAAGTGACGGAGGAAAACTGACACCCCCCAGACTAGAGACAGGTCAGTCCTTGTCTGATGCTTTTAAACTGTTAAAATTACTAAACTATAAAATGCACAAGTTTTAAAAGCATTCAGAAGTCTCCTCCTCCCTCTCCACCCAGGCTCCCCTACAAAGATCTCACCCCTGTTCCCTAGGCTCTTTGGTATGCATTCTGACCTGCCCCTGCATAGACAGCTGATGTACGACCCTGTGAAAAGTGCTGTGTGCATCAAGCATGGTCAGGTGTCTCCAGGCTTTATCGCACAGCTCAGCCCAGACTTGTCGAAACATTCCCTGTTAGCAGACGTGTTTGCTTCCATTTTCCACAAAGCTAATGCTGGAGCAACGAGCACCTCGTGTGTACAGCATTGTTCACTTGGGTGTTTCCAAAGAGTGTGGAAAACTGGGATTAAAAGATGTTTATCAGTGTAAAAAATTTGAAATCTGCACGTATCAGGGTTCCTCAAAAGTACAAGAAAATGTATATTTTGAAAAAGAAAAACTGCATTTTCAAAAAAATTACACCAAAATTAACTTCTCTTTTAACTCCATCTTCCATGCATTTCCTGAAATTCCCAGGTACATCTGTGCATAAATTCCTGACGGTCCCAAGTGCTGAGCCAGAGTATACTGTATGTGCATTTTCTTCTCAGCTATTGTACAATTTTCCTCCTAAAAGCTTGTACATCTCCCAGTTTCATGAGCACGGGGAGGCTTGATCTATTTTAGTTCATTTGCTGACTCTAGGAGTTTAGCTGGGAACAGCCATGCCCCTGGAACCACAACCAGCGTAAATGCGTTTCCTTCTCAATTTGAGTCCTTCCCCTACCAAGAGCTGGGCTTGGAACTGTTGGAGGCAGTGGACAGGCTGTGGGCTCAAGCGCTGCCCTGGCACTCTTTGCTTGGGAATCAAGGCCACTTGGGTCGCACTGTCTTGCTTACCAGCCCAGGGGTGTAAACAAGCTCGCAGGGGTTGGGTCGCATGCCACACAGAAGAGAACAAATTGTTTTGAGCACTTTACAAGTACCCGCTGGTACCAGAACAGCTGCTGTGCTAATTACCAAGCAAGCACCACTCCACATGAAAGCAGTTCCCTGCAGCTCTCAGCAAGGCGTGGAATAGTGAAAGTAAAAACAGGCAATAACTCAAATGCTTCGTGCATCTAAGCTCCTTCAAAGACCTGACTGCAGGCAGTATCTGAGAGTCAGGCTGCACCATGGCACAAAGTCCTAGGCAGCAGAGCAGGACTGGTCCCACAGTTACTAAGCAACAGTGACTTGATGGAGGCCAGGTGCATGACAGCCTGTTCCTGTCTGCCTTAGGGGCTTGGCAGGATCTTCCTGCCTGCCTCTCCCCAGGTGGAGAGTCCTGCACCACAGCCTCTCTCTTTGCTTGCAGAACCTGAGGTTTCCATATTGTCCTGGGCTGGGCAGGAGGCAGAGCACTGGGAGCAGGCCTGCCAATCCAGCTGTCCCCTGAAGCTCTAGGCACTTCTGCCAGCCTGGCATAAGCCAGGTTGGCTGCAGTTCTCCACCACTCCCCCAAAGTGTGGACAGTGCCTGAGCTGGCACCCGCCAGGGAGGGCTGAGGATGGTTGTGCCAGGCCCTTACCCAGCAGCGTGGGAGGGCAGGGGAGGAGCCCAGCTGGTTCTGTTGGTCTTTGTCCAATGCATGCCAGGTGCCCTGTAGGCACCTGCGGAGGAAGGATTTGAGCTTATGAGGCCCAGGCAGCCTGGTCCTCTAGGGAGGGAGGAGGCAGGGGGTTGCAGGGAGCAGGGTCCCTGAGATAGAGCTGCTTGGGCATCAATTGCCCCAGTGTGGCTCCACCCTTTTGCCTCTCCCCATAACATCTCATCTCAGGCCCTCACTTTGGCTGTCCAAGGATAGCATGAGAGGGCTTGGGCTGAAGTCAGAGAAGAAAAGCTCTAAAGACTTATTGGCTAAGGGCTAATGACTGTCATGACCAGGCACCTTTCTTAGAGCATAGGCTAAGGTCTTTCCAAAACGAAGAAACAGTAGGGAGCAGCATCCAGCTGGTAGCCCTGAGGTCCCCAAGCAAACATTATAGAGCCAGGGTAGAACAGGGCCAGGCCCTCAGGCAGCCTTAGCATGCAGAGTAGGCAGGGCAGCCTGGAAGTCACACCTGCAAAAGTGCAGGTACAACCATGATCTACACGGAACCTGGCTTTCCTTACTAGTCACCCACATATGCAGATGGAGAACATGCATGTCAGATGGGACTCTGTGAAACTGAGTAGCTCCGCCCTCACTGGGGCTCCATCCTGACACACAGCACAGGCACTGCCCCTACAGATGGGGTGCTGGGAGCTCACCTCCATCTCTGCCCCTCCCTGGTGTTCTAATGGCCTGGGACACAACAAGCTTTCCATCCCTGCCGCAGGTTAGTGGCCTCCATGAGGAAGGACACACTGGTTCCCGTTTCCCAGTGGAACAGGGAGTGTGCAGAGTTGTCCATGCTTCCCTGAGACACCTGGGTTTCTTCTCACCTGGGCTCACAAAGTACCACGGCTCCAGAAGTTGTTAGAATCATCCCCGTGCCCTCACCAGCTAAGCCAGCCACTGAGGATAGCAGAGGCCACAGGAGAAATAAAAGGGGTGAAACATGCAACAAAAGAGTTTGGCCTCATCTTCAGAGTTAAGTTCAATGTCTCTGCCTTGCCTTTGGGCTCTTTTCAGGCTGAGCCCTGAGAGAGTCCAGATGCTTGGTGTTTTCTGAATTCCAGGAGCAGCTCCTCTAGATCTGGAGGAATGGGCCAGCTCTCAAGCACTGCCCCTCGGGCATCTCCTGGCTCTAACCCCCAGGCTTCAGTCTTCCGACTAGTTTTAGGAAATCAGTGGGATGCTCCAGCATCTCCCATGGGCTTTGGGAGCAAATCCCTTCACCTGCCTGATCCTGGATTGTCCCCATCCCCTCCCGTCGCCCCATACCCCAGGTGACCACCTCTAGGGCCTAGCGTGAGAGTTTATGAAGGAAGAAGTAGGATGAGGCTGCCATTCCCAACAAAACAGCCATGGGGAAGCAGCCATGGTGCACGCCCACTCATCCAGGCTAGCCATGCAGCCCTGTGCAGGCGCATGTGTGGGCTCACACAGTTATTAGCCCCCACTGCATGGGAGGATGGGGGTGCATTCAGAGGGGAAGTGAGGGTAGTGCTGGCTCGCTGGAGTTCTATGAGTGCAGGGACAGTGGCCTGGACTCAGGGCTGTCTTAGTGGTATGGATCTGGCTCTGACCACAGTGTGTGTTTTAATTCATCCCCTTGCCAGCTGGCTGGTAGCTCCACTAACAGGTGGCTGGAGTGAATGACCAGGGCTGTCCTTGAGCTGGGGTTTGGCTGGGGCCTTGGTAAAGCCAAAGTTCCTTGGCCTCTGGAGACCAGGGACTAGTCCACACTGGATGCCTGGCAGACACAGTGCACTTCCAAAAGTTCATGGGAGATGTGTCTTTACAAAAGAACAAGGCATGAGTAGAGCAAAAATGTTTTGCATTAAAATAAACATATCATCTAATTATGTTTTCCATGAACTTTGTGAAGTCCCCCTGTACTGGGGGGCTGGAAGGATCTGAGAGCCAAGCTCTCTCCTGTTAGAAGAGTGAGGAGCCCCTCAGGTGTCTTCCTGTTGCTTACAGAGGTTTCTGGCTGACCTGTGAGTGTCCAGGCACCCCTGAAAGCTGAGCCTCACTGCCCACCCACCACACTGCTCTCTCATCTCCTTCCCTGAGCTGGGAAGACGGGGGAATGAGTTCCTCAAGACAATGGGACCTGTAAGGACTTAGACCAGAGTCCAGCATCTAGGAGAGAGTGCCAGGAAAGCTAGTTGTAGCACCCTTCCTGAGCCACTCCCTTGCCCTTCAATGTGTGAAGCAGTTGAACCCCAAGCCAAGAGGACCCCCACAGCTGCAGCCTTCTCAAAGGACAGCCCTCCCTGAAAACCAGCTCAGCAACCTGCAGCAGCCAGAGGGGTGGGGCATGTTCTGGGGCTGCAGGTCCTAGCCAGGGGCAGCCTCTAAGGGTCTCCAGAGTCGGAAGAGGAAATGAGCTTTGGGGTGCTACAAAAAAAAAAAAAAAAAGAGGAAATGATCAAAGCAGGAGGGATGGGAGTAGTCCCAAGGGGGAGATGGTGAGTCTGTGGGTATGGGGCAATGGCATCAGAGTCCAGCAGGGGGCATGGGTTCAGGGTGCAGGCAGAGAAGAGCAAAGACCCCAGAGGAGGAAAAGAATGGTGCCTTACTTTCACTCTCCTGGGGTGAGGATGGGTAGGTGATGCATTTGGATGGTGCGTCTTTGCCTGCAGGAGCAAACGGAAGGGCAGTTAAGTGGTTCATGAGGCCAGGGTTTGACAGGAGAGGGCAGGGCTTGTTCAGACTGGGGTCTACTACCTAACATGACAGCCTGCCCATGCTTATACACATGCACACACAGACACACCCACCCCCCAGCCTGTTCTCACTGCTTTCTCACGCCACCCTTAGGGGCATGCAAATACCTGCCTGGTCACACCTTTGTCCAGTCCATCACCTTTGCCCAGTTCACCACTGCTAGGGTGGACACACACATACACCAGCAGCCATTGTGCCACCAACCACCAGCTACCGTGGTGTACCATCCCAGAGCACCCATCAGTTACCCTGTCCTCTGTCCCCAGCATAGCCTCAGGGCTGTCAAGAGCAGATTCACAACTGCTCAGCCAGCAGACTCAGCAGTCCAGCCCAGACTCGGCACCTCTCAGATGAAAAGGTCCCTGTCACAAACAGCCTCAAACACACCCTCCCTCTCTATCACACCAGCTAACCACCTGTTCACGCCCCACACACCCACAGCCACTCCTCACACACAGTGCCACTGTCACCCCCATCTAGCCCAGGGCCTTGCCTCATCACACTCTGACACCTGCTCCTGGGGCTGTCCCCTGCAGGGGACCCTCACCTCTCTGCACCTGCAGTTCCATGGCCCCGTGGACCCTGTGCTCCGAGTGGCGGCCCCGTAGCTCTACCACAAGGCAGCAGTAAAGGCCACCATCCCACAGGGTCAGGTTGCGCATGGTGATAGAGAAGTTGCCATGGTGATCGGTAGCCAGCTCCAGCCCGTGACTCTGGGCCAGGTTCTGGCTGGAGTTAGCAGACTGGTGGCTTGTGTGGTGCAGGTGAAGGTTCTGGAACGTGATGTTGCGGATGGGCTGGCGCTCAGAGCACGACTGCACCTCACCCCGAGAGCTGCGGTACCACGTCTTGTAGAAGGTCACATCATGCCCCCTGGTCAGGGGGCCCAAGAGCCTACAGGTGAGAGTGACGTTGTACCCCTCAGGACACACGTACAGGGAGTAGGGTGTAGCAACTTTGAAAGCGGCCACCAGACCTGTAGAGAGAGAGAAGACAGCTCTTACCTGCCAGCCCATGAGCACACACTACTCACGGTACACCCAGAGGAGGCAAGAGCCTTGGCCTTGGCAACACCCTGGCCACAGGCCTCAGCTTCTTCATTGACACAGGGCACCCCAGGAGCTTCCCCACTCAGGGGTGTCCCGAAATCGGGGACGAGGTGAAGAGGGACTGTGACTGGCTTAGCGCAGGTGTATTCACCTCCATGGCCTCTCACCCAGTGAAGAAGGGTGACATTGCCTAGGCCCTTCATTGCCTGGCTTCCACATCCACCTTGCTGGGTGCGGGGTGGGCTGAGAGCAGAAAGGACGTTTGTGACAGCAACTCTGGGCCCTGGGACCCCCGCTGGGGGCCTCAGCACCTTGGAGCTAGCTGTGCCTTCCCATCTCCTCATCATTCGGTACCAGTGGGACACCTGCACCTGCCAGGCCTGTGGCAGGTGTTATGTCTCACTTGGATGCCAAAAATTGGGGCTTCCCTGAGAGCTGATGTGCTAAATGGGAAGAAGAGCTCACATACATGACAAAGGACCCCCCTCCCCAGGGCAGAGGCGGACCAGCCAGTGCCAATCTTTAGGGCACTTGGAGGAACAAGAACACTGGGCCTAGACAGTCAGGGGACTTAGGGAAGGAGGAGGTGTCTTTGACCTTGATAGCAGGTGGGATTTCAGTAAAGGAAGAGGGTATCTCAGGCAAGGTGGTGGAGAAGCAAAAGGCAGAGGGTCTGAGGGGCAGGGGAGGACTACACGGCAGGAGGTCTCGTCCCACCTGGCCTCAGGGACAGACCCTAGTGAACAGAGCAATCACCCCGATCTTCCAGCAATCAGCCGTACTGACCACTCCCCATCCCTCTAGGCACGGCAATGGAGTCCCTACATTCTCTAGCTGTATAAGTCTGTTTCCTTGTCTCTGTGAGGAGAATGACAACTGGAACATGAGGTTCTGAGAGGAGTGACTGGGGGATTGAGGAGAGACCGAGGAGTGAGTGCCGATATCCCCTCTAGAGACCCCTGAGAAGGCTGTGCATGCTCTGTGCTGGGCTGTTATAGGGAGGCTGGGACAGACAGATGGATGGATGGACATCCCCACCCACCCACCTACCCAGACACACACACACACATTCCCACCCTGCCCCCCACCAACAGCATCGCCTACACCCCAGATATGGTGGGCCTGACCCAAGTGAGAGAGAGGCTTTTGCAATTTAATCACTGTGAGTCACTTGGCTTCCTCTTCCATAGAATACATGAAAACATCTCCCCGGAAGGATTAGCAATCACGTACGGACGTGACAGTAGCTCAGTGTTCCTGGTTCCAGGCTGGCACAGCTTGTCACCCTGGCCCAAGTGCCCACCTGTGTAAAGAGACTTGGAGGCAGTACTACATGCATCTCCAGGAGTGGACCTTCAGGTCGTGGACAGGAAGGAGGACAGGCATGCACCCTGGCCTCCCCTGCATTCTGTTGCCATGTGTGAGTGGGAGCCAGGTCTGGGAGTGTGAACTTTTGGGAAATGAGTGACCTTTACAGGCCAACACACAGAGGCCCCAGAGAGAGAAAGTCCTTAGCCTACAGCCCTACCCCAAGAGAACTTAGCTTGGAGCATGGGGGCATTAGGAAAGGCACTGGATTAGAGCTGTAACCATGAGAAGCAGAGGTGCCATGTACTACACTCCAGGCTTTGTGGCACTTTAAGGTAGTGGTGGTGTTTCTAGTCCTAGCTCCCTGGTAGGAAAGCTGAGGCTGAGAGGGGGTAGGTGGCTGGAGTAGCAAGTAGGTACTGGAGTTGAATCCAGGGGCTTAGATGTAAAATTCAGCACTGGAAGCCCACAGACCACCTCCAGCCTCCAGGAAGATTTTATTTGACTCTAAAGTTTCTCAAAGTTATTTTGGGACTGCCAACCTTTAAAAGCTAGGACTTCAAAAATGAGAATTCTGACTTCTAGCTTCCCCACAAGGCAACTGTCAGCTGGAGCTAAAGAGTAGCCTCCCCTAAGAGTGGGTACTGGCATTTCAATTTGCCACAGGCCTCACTACTCCCTAATGTCTTCACCTGACCTGCCTCATGCTCTCACCATAGCTGCTCAGACACATGAATACTGCAGTTCTGTGATGCATGAATGTAGCTCCCTGGAAAAGCCAGAATCTGGCTCTATAGCCCAAGTCCTATGTCCTATAGATGTGACCCTTGGGCTCAAAGAGGTGGTATACCAGGGAAAACCTGGCTGAACAGGGGCTAACCAACTCCACACCCTGTTGCTACAGGCTCAGTGGAAGGGGAGCCCATAGCTTTGTCCATGCTGGCATGAGATTTTCACCCCATAGACTGGCAGAGAGTGGTGGTGGCTACAAACCATGGCTGTGTGAAGCCTGGGGAGCGGATGGTGGCAAGACTTTGGGGGTTCTCCCAGAAGTTCCCCCAAAGAACTAAAACTTAGCCCCTCATCATGGTAGGCCACATGGCAGCTGCCAGCAGCACATCTCTCAGCTGCCATCCCCTGCCCTTTGCTAATGCCATCTGCAGCCCCAAAGTCACCCTGCAGCTTGGCGCTGAGGTCAACCCTGGCAGCATTAACTGGCAGTGCTTGTACTTGAGACAGCAGGGTGTGCTGTCCAGCAGAGGCAGGGTGGGGACCCCAGAGGCCTGGGTCAAAGCAAAGCCAGAAGTGGAGCTGGTTGGAGAGGGCAGAGTGCCAGGCTGAGACCCCCAGGGGCCAAGTCATGGTGGCAGTGACCCCAGGGGTGTGCCACCTAGCTGGGAGGCAAGCTTCAGCCCTGAGGGCAATTTCCTTAAAAACCCACAAAGAGCATCAGAGAGAAGTGGGGCTCAGGCAAAGCAGGATAAAGCGGGGAAGGGCATTGCTCAATATCCAGTGCACACCACCCACCCCTGAGGTCTCCAAAACACCTCTTCCCCTTTTAGAAAAAAAGGAGAAGCTATGCTAGGATTCAGGCTTGGGGCCAAGAGTTCAGGAGCAAGCATCAGGCCCAGAAGAGAAGGAACCCCAGGGAAAGCAAGCCAGCAAGCAACCATGTGCTGCTGGCACAAGGCCTAGGGCAGCCTCTTATCCTCCAGAGGATGTGCAGGGTCATGGTGCTACAGGAGAAAAGGTGCAGGCACAGGGGCCCTGCACCAGGGCAAGCACCAGTGGTGACCCGGAGCGAGCTCCGGCTGGGATCTTAATTATGTGCAGGAGGATGTCGCTCATTGTCTGGAGCAGATGCTTTCCGACACCTGGGTCATTGTGGGAGACCGGGGGAAAGTGGGTGGGGAGGAAGGTCCCTGGCTCCAGGGTGGCCAAGAGCATGTGGGACAGGAAAAGGAGCAGGAGCTGGCCCTGAGCATGTGCCAGCCAGAAAAAGCCAGTCCCCCAAGCTCCTCCTGAGGCCCAGGCCCCTGCTGCCTGACCCAGTCACCCACCTGCCAACTGGGTAAAGAGGCAGGGGCACTTAGAACCGGGGAGACTCTAGGCATCAGGGTGAGGTCTCAGGTCTAGGAAGCACGACTCCAGGGTCCCAGCTGCTGTGCAGCCTTGGGTATACCTTGCTTGCTTCTAGAACCCTGCTGGAAGCCCCTCCAGGGGTAGGAAGAGGGGCCATTTCCATGTGAGGCATCTGCTGAGCGCTCTGCCATCTCCCTCCACTTTGTCCCTAGTTCAGACAAGGACACAGAGAAATCAGACAACATGCCCTAGGCAGCACAACCCTGTGTGGTCACAGCTTGAGTACCAGGAAGGGCGCCTGGCCTCTGAGCAAGCCACTTTGCCCCCTCCTCCTTCAGCTGTTTAGATGGGACACTCTGCCCCAGTGCTGGCTACCGCACTATTCAGACTCAAACTGAAAAAACATCATCGTCATCCCACAGATACTCAGCCAGGCCCTGACATGAGCCCAGCCCAGGGCAAGGAGCTTGGGGGCATCCAGAGTGCTACAGAGGGATGACAAGGCTGGGGATTCAACCCTGCATCTGTGGCATCTGTGCCCCCTTGAGGAGGGGGCAACCTCTGTGTGAAGTTTCTGGTGCTCCTACTTGGCTGCTCTTAGGGGACCCTCAGCTCTTCCCACCCAGCAAGGCTGTGTGTGGATGTGCACAGGCCTGTGTTTTCCCTGACAGCCGTGACCTTAGCCTGCAGTTACCAAGGCAACGCCCCAGCCTTCAGAGGTGGGTCCCAGGCTTGATTAGTCAGGCCTAGGAGGCCCCACCCAAGCAGCCGGACTCTGTCCAGCTGCAAAAGGCTGTGGAGTAAACACTGACTAACTGCCTGCTATGGCTGGCAACAAACAGACGCGGCCCCCAGGATGGTCCCCAGGGTGCAAAGAGAAACAGGCAGGGAGCAAAGAAAGAAGAGAATGGGGGTGAAGGCAGGGGCAGGGAACCCAAAGCCAGCCCATCTGCCTAGGGGTGCTGGCATGCAAGACAAAGGGCACCTCAGATGTGTGTGTTGATACCTGCCCCTGCAGGAAGTGTCCATTCACAGCCCACTGAGGGGGCCGGGAAAGGGAAGCTGGGCTCTATAGGAGGAAGCCGCGCTTCCAGCACCTCGGGAAAGCGCCTGGGCATCCGGGGCTGGAGGCTGCTGGCAAGTGTGTCTGCTACCCAGGAGAGGAGGGCCCCTCCACTACCGCTTCCCAAGACTGCCCCCACCCTACAGACTGGCTGCCCTGCTCAGGCCCCTTTTTTGGGAAGACATCCCCAGGTTTCCATGCAGGTCTTCTTGCAGCTCCCTCCAGCAGACAGATGTGTGGGCTGTGTTCTGCGTCCTGCATTCACTAAGGACTGTCTGGTGGTTTCTCTGGCTCCAGTCCCCTCACCTGCACGGCAGGTGCTAGAATCATCTCTATAGTACAGACAAGCAAACCAGGCCCGCAAATGGTGGTGCTGGGAGTCCAGGTAGGCAGCCTGCAGGGCTCTAGTGCAGGCTGATTGCTATACTAGGAGGGAACCAGGGACTGCTTGGAGGAGGCCCCTCCCTCTTCCTGCAGATGGACAGATGGCCTAGCCAATGAGAGTCCAGCCTGCCTGTGGCCTCTTTAGCTTGAGTAGTTTTACTTTTGGTTTTAAGCAGTAAATAACATTGAATCATATAGAGAAAAGGTTATTCCTTTTTCAATTCTCTTTCAGCCGTAGTTACATCAAAGGGAAAGTCCTAGTTTGATCACAACATGTTCACAACATCCCTGTCTCTTGCCAGTCTCCTTATTGATTCAACAATTATTATTACTTTGGCAAGAGGTAGCTGATTTTAGGTTCATGGCCTTCCCCAGGCTAAAGTTTCCAACTAGAACCAAATACCCTAATTTGGTTGTTTTTTTTTTTTTTTTCCTATTTTGATTTTGTTCTATTTATGGCAAGTGATACTAGCTTTCCACTTAGTGACTTAAAGTTTCCTCTTACAATCTGGTCAAATGAAAGAATGGGTAGATTTAAAGAAAAAAAAAGCATCAAAGTTGATGAGTAAATGATTAAAGCTTGGGGTTCCCTGCTTTGGAATTTCCCTGGAGAAGCACACAGCCAGCCACTGCACAGATACAACGTGATGTGGCCAGGCGGGAACTCACGACAAGTAAATGACAGAGGCAGGACTTGATCCTAGGTCGTGGTGGGAGACAGGACAGCTTAAAGGAGCTGGACTTGCTTGTTGAGAAGACTGTTTGTTGACTGAGTCCTGGGTGGACAAAGGGGTGGCTAGCCAAAACAAAAGGGATGAATTGGCACAGGAGTTCTGGATGCATAGAAATACAGCATGGGTGAGGAGCCAGCACTGTGGAAAGTGTTCACAGCAGCCCAGGAGAGACTTGCTTGTGTCACCCCTCTTTCAGCCATGGAGGGAGTGGCTCGGGGATGCAGGGCCACATTCCAAGCTTGCGTCTGAGGTGGCCTGCCTGCTTTTGCAGGACCCTGGCCTCACTGGACAGTCTATAGGACCAGGGGTTATTAGCATTGCTGCAGAGGAGTCCAGGGACATCTCCAGCGCCAGCATGGATCCCTGGCATCCCTCCTCTGGCATAGCCACAGGGTCCCTGCATTAAGAGTTGGCCTAGAACCTGGGGCTTGGGTTCAGTCAAGACCAACAGGCTAGATGGGCCCCAGGGGCTGCTTTCTTCCTTCCTTCTGCTCAAGCCCAAGACCCCCTACACAGAGTGCAAAGAAGGGAATGTGGCCCCTTTCACTCTCAGCAAGGCATGCCACCCCTGGACTACCCTTGCCCTGGGGGGCTAGTCCCAGAGGGGAGACCCAGTCCTATTTGGGGTGACAGGTACAGGTAGGGATGGGAATGGAGCAACCATCCAAGCTCAGGGCCCTGGCTGCCTCTCAGACTCCGGGACCTCTGGGCAGTGGGTCATGCATTTCCCAAGAATTGACCGCTGCTGCGTCATAAACTTGCAGCACTGAATTACTCCACCAGGGCCCACAGCCTTGTCCACCAAGAAGGGGAACAAGAGGCCTCCTCACTAGCTATATTGTACCCCATAAACTTGTCAGTGCTCGTGCCAGATTCTGGGGCTCCAGAGTCAGCCTGTAAGGACAGGGCAAGGATAGTAACTTTGCACAGGTCTTGGGGACACCTCAGGGTATATGTGGTCTTGGCCTCCTCCACCCATCTCAGTCTGTGCCAACCCAGGAGCTAGAAAAGAGACCTGACCCACCTACTCCATCCTACCTTCCCAGGCAGACTTGAAAGGCTTTGACCTTGAGCAGTCCTGCTGGGGGCAACCCAGCCCCTCACCTGACTGGGGAATGTTCTCTGCTCTCAAACCTTCCTGGCCACATGTGCTCCCAAGTCTGCCCAGATGTTGCATTCTGTAATGGGTGAATAGGATTAGTCCCTGTCAGTGCACCTGTGTTACAGTTGGAATTGCTGAGTCCTGAGCTATTCAAAGCTAGCATTCCATAAGTTCTGATAGAATAGAGCCACATGGAGCCCTAATGACTTTCCTGAGCCAAACCCAGCAAGAATGGACCCTTGGGTGCACCAGGAGACAGACTAGCCCAGACCCTGGCAGCATCGGGGCTCCTGGTCATGCTGGGGATGGAGGCAAGGGGTTCTGAGCTCCTGAATGCTCTGCAAGCTGCCCTGGATCTCTGAACCAAGATCAGCCCAGCTCAGTGAGGCCAGGCAAGGAGAGCCTCGTGGGCTCATCTGGGCAGGAGACAGTGCAGAGCAGGTGGCCCTGCAGAAGGCAGCACTGGCTTTGCTGCTGCCCGGGTCCCTTGCTCCACTGTCCCAGCCAGGCCATGGAGTATGGCCACTGCTCTCCCCTACCCCAAGCTGCAGCTGGGTGCTGAGACAACACACTGCTCGCAGACACCTGACTTGCTTCTCAGTTGTTTTCCAGGTCCGATCAAGCTCCTCCTTGCCCTCTTACACCACCCTATCCCACTTCTGACCTGCCCTTCTCTCCCTGCCTGCTCCCTCGCGCTCCCTGTGTGTCTTACACTTTCTCTCGGCCTTCCTTGCACAGTCTGGTGCTGCAGGCTGCCCTCTGGCTCTGTCTTCTCTTGCAATGCAAACTCCATGGGTTCAGCCAGGCAAGAACCAGGATACCAGGGTCTCTTGCTGTCCCTGTCCCTCCCCTCCCCCCCCTTCCACCATGAGAATGCCCTGGGTAGTCACAATAGCAAAGGGATACCTGATTGTGTGGGGCTTGAGTTGAGAAAGCTGAGGCTGGAGAGATGGCCTCATCACCCCAGGACCCACAGGGGGAGGTGGTGGAGCTGGGAGAATGCCCACCGACCCACCCCCACCTCCAGGCTTCATGCTGGCCCTGAGCTGCAGCCTTATCCATTTGCTACTGAGCTGCACTGCCCACAACAGCCAGGCACCCACCAAGGCTCAGGGGTAGGTGTTGCCCCAGCTGTGAAAAGCTGCTACCACCTGCAGGAAAAGGGTGTGGGGTGGGGGCACTGCCCCTACCCTGCAGAGCTGCCAGGCCCTGGGACCCCTGGGCAGGCCACGAGGCATCCAGCCTACCCCAGGGCAGCTGTCAGAATTTACAGATGTGTGTGCTGCTCTTGGAGGCTCCTGGTGCACCCAGCCCAATGGCCCCAGCAGCTTTCGGAGTAGGAGCTGAGAGGCACAGCATACCCAGAAGAAAACTTATGGGGCCTCCAGCCCGCCCATGTTTCCCATCCTGCCCGTCTGGGCTCTGCCCCAGTGCCGACCTTACCTCGGGACGCAGCCAGGAAGACAGCTACAAACACGGGTCCCCAGCGCCGGGCGCAGGCGGCGGCGACCCCGGGGACGCCCATGTCGCCGTCGGGCCGGGCCGTGTGTGGTGTGGTGGGACCCGAGTGGAGCTGCGGGCGCAGGGGAGACTCCGGGTGAGCTGGCCGCGGCGGGACACCGCCACTCAAGGGAAGCTCCCGCGAGCAAGTGCGGAGCAAGCGGGCAAGCGTGGCGGGCGGCCGGTTGGAGCTGGGCTGCTCCTGGGGCCCGTCAGCGCCCCCGGGGGGCCGAGGCCGGTGCTGCTTTCCCCGGCGGGAGGAGCTTCCAGCTGACTGCCGGGCAGGGAAGTCCACGGGTTCCCAGCACGTGCTCCATTTAGTCCGCTCCTGGGCCAAAGCTAACTTTTCGTTCAGGCCTTTTGGAGAGGAGGATCTCTAGATTACACACCCAAGAAGGCAGTTGTAAGTCCAAATCGGTATGATGCAAAATTACCACAGTTTGGGAACTGGCATGACCCCTAAAGCTTCCAGCCAATACAGGGCATGGGTGTGTGTGTGTGTGTGTGCTAGCCACGCCCAAAATTTGATGCTGATATAGAGAAGCAAGGTGGAGCTGCTTCACTACTGAGGTGGAGGCCAAGATTCAGCTTACACACACATGCACAGATGTGGGACAGGTGCAGGAGTGTGCATGTTGCCATATGTGTGTGTAACAACCATTGTGTGGCCCACAGATCCCCATCCAAGCTGCCCTGTGGGTTCTTCTACACCAGCCTTGGATATCCACAGCTCACATAATCACCTGCTCTTCTAATGCCCCCGACTGTCACACACCCCCAGTCAGTGACCGCGGCCCCACAGTCTTTTCTCCAAGTTCCTAGCTACTCCCCAAGGCTCCCTACAGGCCTCACTGTCCACACCCCACCCTCCTGCTACCACCCCAGGCTTTGACTTCTCTGCCCAAGTGGAAACCTCAGCCTCTCCTTGGTGTTTGGAGTGCCTAGCACAGGTGTGGCATGGAGAAGGTATTTACTACGCTCTTATCAGAATGAACAAGCCAGTGAGTGCATACGTGACTGCCTAGATGCAGGGGCAGAGATGACTGTGGCTGGGGACAGGGTCCAGGGACAGGGAGGCACCCCTGTTGTGACTACTGCAGCCTGACTTAAGTTCCCAGGGATTCAGCTAGTTCCTTGGGGACCTTGAGCTCAAGGGTGACCCTTGGCTAAAGAACAGAGCGCAACCAGAGTCTGGCTGGGTCAGGATCCCAAGGTGTCGGACTGAATAGGAGCCAGGAATGGGTGCAGAGGGGTGGGGAGGAGGGCTGATAACCAGTCATAGGCTTCCTGGGGCAGGAGGGGAGAGGGGTGTGTTGTCACAGTGACCTCATGGTCCTGGAGCCAGGGAACCCCATGCCATAGAGGATGAGCATCCCCTGGGGCTGCCAGAACATAGGTCAGGTCCTGGGTCACCATCCTGGCCTCAGGCCCCCACTTGGCAGAGGGAAGGAATAAAGCCAACTGACCCAGGCACTGAGCAGGCCCTCTTTCCACCTAGGGTCACTCTAGGGTGAGCCCCGGGGACCCCCCATTCCTTGACTTCCTCCTTCCCCACCACAAAACCTCCCCAGATTGCACCATAGTAAGACCAAAGGTGGCATTGCCCAAGGTGTGGGCACAGTCAAAAACCTCAAGCGATTTCCTCACCACCAGGGCAGGGAAGGAAGGACTCTGCCAAGAGGGTCTCAGAGGTGCTTGCTTCCTCCTCACTCCAGATGCCAGAAGGAAGCTGCTGGGTTCAGGCCTGGGCACAGAGCACAGTGCCATGAATGACAACTCCATCAGAAACCCCACTTGCAGCCCTGCAGCCTGCACAGGGAGGGGGAAGGGGGGCTCAGACCTGCTTCCAGGGGGTCCAGGAGGTGAGTCTTCAGGTGGGGCATGCCAACCCCTGCTCCCTGCAGGTGGTGTCCTTGTGTCCCTGCCAGCATACTTAACTGTGCCCAGGACCCTGCAAACCATGAGGAAAACTCAGGGGCATCCCTGATCAGCTGTGTTTGCTCGTTTGTTTAGGACCTTGCCACTCCCTGTCATGAAATCAAAAAGGAACACACCATGGCCAACAAAGATGTCAGATCCCCATGTACCTCACACCTAAGACAGGGGCTCAGTGCAAGTTTGCCTCCACTTCCGTGCACACATTGGAAGAGGGTTCATGTAACACACTTTCCCTACTATATCCTTTTTTGTTCTATTTTTAAAAAATGTTTTAATTTATGTCTTGTTGGAATGGCAGATTTAGAGAGGAGAGACAGAAGGAAAGATCTTCCATTTGCTGGTTCACTCCCCAAGTGGCCCAAACAGTTGAAGGACAAGGCTACCTAGGTACATAGAGGCTAGCCATTGCAGACTGCTGTGCCCACCCACATGCATTATTCGGGAGACAAGAAGATGGTGTTTTTGGAGCCATAGAGTTGAGCAGGGGACAACAGGACAAAGGCAGACACCCATAGAATAGTGATTAGGAGCTGGGAGGAGAGGAAGGTTAGCATCTGGGTTCAGCAGTGCCATAATTGATTAGTTATGTCTGCAATGGGTACAGAGTTAGGAGTGGTGGTGATGCAAGCACTGTCTTGGACCTAAAATGTTACCACCTTGACTTTTGATGGCACCTTTGTATGTTCTTCCTTATTAGGCAGTGACTCACTCCCCTACCTTGTTTTCTTCTGCCTTGCCTTCTCTGCATCCCCTTCAGTGCCTCTATCCTTGACCAAGGTCATGCTCTTATCCACAGGCCACCACCCATGTGTACGTGACCATCGTGGACGAGAATGACAATGCACCCAAATTCCAGCAGCCCCATTATGAGGTGTCATTGGACGAGGGCCCAGATACCATCAATGCCAGCCTCATCACCGTCCAGGCACAGGACCCAGATGAGGGCCCCAATGGAACCGTTACCTACGCCATCGTGGCTGGCAACATCATCAACACCTTCCGAATCAACAGACATACGGTCAGCAGTGACGGCAGGTGGGGGGTGTGGTCAGTGGCATCACAGGGGAGGGGGACAAAGTTGGAGTCTGGAGAGGAACTGGAGCCTGCCCTCTGGGCTGGCCAGAGGATATCCTAGACTCCCCCAACCCCTGCCCAGCAATCTACCCTTATTTCCTGCCTGCATCATCAGGGTGTCATCCGTGCTGCCAAGGAGCTGGACTACGAGATCAGCCATGGCCGCTATACCCTGACTGTGACTGCCACGGACCAGTGCCCCATCCTGTCACACCGCCTCACCTCCACTACCACGGTGGGTGGATGGGTCAGCACAGTCCCTGTGTGGATGTGGGGTGGGAGTAGGAGAGGGGGACAGGGCTCTGAGCACTGCAAAGGGAGAATGTGGGGGGACGAACACTGTCCAGGGTAAAGACATCAACAAAGGAGCGTGGTCTCCATCTTAGCAGTTCACGCCCACGTGCTGTGTGACTACAAGGTCCTTGAACCTCTCTGGATGGCTATACCTGTCAGACAGGTGACGACACCTGTTTTCCCTCCCCTCCGTGGGAGAGCCACCAGCTGTGCTCAGACCCACAGCCATGTGCCCAGACAGATCTCTGAAGCTTCTGTTTGTGAAAGGGAATGACAAACTGTGCCTGGGCAGTGGGAGTAAATGAGACCATGGTGGTGGTCACAAATGAAAGTTTCACAACACTATTGTTCACATAGCTTCAAAGGCCTGCCCTTTTGCCCTAGGGTTTGGTGTTGACACCACGTGGCAGGGTTATCAGGTCCAGTTTACAAGTAAAGGAGCCAAGGTCCAGTGAGTGGCTAGGCCTAGGGCAAGGCTGGCTGGGTGAGGCCCTGGCTAAGCTTGGTCACCACTTCAGGTGTTCATCAACGTGAATGACATCAATGACAATGTGCCCACCTTCCCTCGGGACTACGAAGGACCGTTTGATGTCACCGAGGGCCAACCGGGGCCCAGAGTGTGGACCTTCCTGGCCCACGACCGAGATTCGGGTCCCAACGGGCAGGTGGAGTACAGCGTTGTGGATGGAGACCCCCTGGGTGAGTGGGGTCCATGCCGGGCAGGGGGAACGGGCACAACCCATAGGTCCTCCTCACCCTTTTTGGAGTCTGCAGACTGCTGTCCCCACCTGGTGTGTTCTTGCTCTCTCCCAGGCCTCAATTGCCCCATTCCTAAGAGGATGGGCACCAGCTACTCCACCATTTACTCCTGGGGATACAATAAAAGCACTTGGGAAGCCTAGAACAGCTGAGGGTCTTGGAGGGTCAATGACAGAACCCCTTTGAGAACATGCTAGAAAATGCCCTGCATCATCCCAAGGGTAGGGGAAGGGCATGCATCCTTCCTTGTGGTGGGGGTGGGAAGGGAGGGAATAGGTGCTGAAAAAGAGGTACCAGGAGAACAATGGGTCGGGGAGCTTTGGCAGCCCCAGCCCAACTCCCAGCAGCTGTAGCCATGTCAGCATGCAGCAGCAGTGGAAACCTCTCTGAATCATCCAGATTTTTCCATGCATCATTCAATAAGTGTGTGCTGGGCAGCAGCCAGGTGCTGGCCACGTACAGGTATTGAGGATTCCAAACAGATGCAAACCACAGCCCTTCAGAACATACATGCCTGCTGGAAGGACATAGGTGTCAAGCTGATGTAATGAATTAGTGCTGAGTGCTACAGAGGAAAATAGAACCAAGCCAGAGGATGGTGACAGCAGTGATTTTAGATGTGGTGCTGGGATGGGAGAGAGCTCCTGGGTGAGGAGGCAACACAGAGGCCCCGCCCCAGCTGACCAAGCCTGCCTTCCCTGCTCCTTCAGGGGTTGCCGACTGGCGTCTAGCTTTGGTGAGCAGGCAGAAAAGCCATCTTCCTGTGTGTGGCCAGAGCCTGGGGCAGGGCTGGAAACCCCTGGGAAGGGAATCTCCAGTTTTCTTTGGAGACACTGGCAGAGCAGGCTCTTGAAATCCTGCTGAGGCAGCTTCCGAATCCTCAGGCAGGGAGGCTGGGGGCCAAGGGAGCAGTCTGGGAAATCCCAACTGCAGGTGCAACTACAGGGACTGTTGGTGTCAATGACCATGGGCACTGCTGCGGCCAGCAGAGACTGTGAGGGGGGAAAAGGCAGGCGGGGAGTGGACTTGGAGGGCTGGGGGCTGCTCCTGTAGCTGGCCTCTGCATGCTGTGTGGCTCAGAGCAGGTGTGCCTATGTCAAGAGGGAAAATGAAAGCATCACTTTCCCCTGCTCTGGATCCCAGGGTGGACACAGCAGTAACATTGTCATCTTCACTCCAGTGGGCGGCCACTTCCCCAAACCCCTCCCTCCCTGATCAGCTCTGAGCGGGTGCTTCCTGGAAAGATCACAAGACCCGCCGCTCTGGGTTCGGGTCTCAATTCTGTCATTACCATGATGTGGACAAGCTGTTTTTCCAGGCCCCTGGACTTGTTTGCCAAGACATATGAGCGGTTACATGGCCGTGG